GGCTGTAAAGATGATAGCCACTTTCGGCTAAGAGTCGGCTCCCAACATAAACTACCCCTTAAACTAAACATTATCAATATGTGAGCTTTCACTGAATGTTGAGTGGTTGTTTAAAGATAGCCTCAAGTTGCGGGGCAGTGGTGGCGCACGCCTTTAATCCCAGAACTTGGGAGGCAGAGGTAGGCAGATTTCTGAGTTCGAGGCCAGCCTGGTCTACAGAGTGAGTTCCAGGACAGCCAGGGCTATACAGAGAAACCCTGTCTCGAAAAACAGGCTGGCCCTGGATTTGTTGTGTAGCCAAGGATGACCTCAAACGTTGGTCCACCTGCCTCCAGGATGTTAGGAATGCACTGCCAAGCCCTACCAACCCATGTTCTTCTTCCTACTATGATCTGAAACTCTAATCTTAACTACCCCAACTGTGCAAAAGTAGAAACAAGCACAGACTAATGTGACAGATTCCCCAGTCCCCAAGGACTGGGACCTGTGCCTTCTTACCTAAAGGCATGAACATAAACAGATTAAGTTAATTTGGGGTTTAATAGCATCTAGTTTGTTCAAGGGCAGAATGCAATCTAATTACCTCTTCTCTTTCCGCCTAAGGAACACGATCTTTTCGTCTAATCTAGTTTCCTCCTCTTGGCCTGATGCACATCATAGGAAGATAGTGTGAGAACCGACTCTGGCCCCCTCTCCATCCCTCTAATCTTGAATCAGCCTTCTATCCCAGGATCTCCCTAAGGCAGGGGTCCTCTAAGACCATTGGGAAACATGAATATTTACATTACGATTCATAACAGTAACAGAACTACAGTTATAAAGTAGCAATGACAATAATGTTATGGCTGGGGGTCTCCACAGCATGAGGAACTGTGTCAAAGGGTGGCAGCATGGGAAGGTGGAGCGCCACTGCCCTAAAGGAGTGGGTCTTAGTCTCTGACATGGGTTTAAGGATTCAACTGTGGCCCATGAGATGGTTAAGCAGGTAAAGGTTCTTGCCACCAAGTTCACTAACATGACCTAAATTCAATCCTCAAGACCCACATGGGGAAGGAGAGAACCACTTCCTCTGACCCCCACACACAGGCCCAGGCCCTTGCCTTCAGCCTTCATATATATATATATATATATATATATATATATATATATATATTTACAATGTTTTCAAAACATCAATTTTCTTCCCATGAACTTTATTTTAGAAAATACAGTTGTATCATTTTTATACCAAACTATTAGTAACATTGCTTCCTTGTTCCTCTTCCTTATTCTATTCTGTAGGCTGTTGACAAATGTTCACAACAATTCCCTGTGTATGGGCGAGGTGCTACTTTGCAAGGAATTTTAACATACCCCGTGGGTTGTGGTACTCCATGCCTTTAATCCCAGAATTAGGGTTGGCCTCCCTTCCTCAAATGATCTGATCAAGAAAGTCCCTCCTGAGCCAGGTGGTGGTGGCACAGGACCTTAGTCCCACCACTAGGGAGGCAGAGGCAAGCAGATCTCTGTAAGGTCAAAGCCAACCTAGTCTAGAGAATGAGTTCTGGGATAGCCAGGGCTACATGGAGAAACCCTGTCTTGATAAAAAGGGAAAACCCCTCACAGGTGTGCCCAGCTGTTGGGTTTTAGTTGATCCCAGATAGTCAAATTGACTACCAATATTACCCTTTACAAGTCCACCCCTTGTCAACTTGATACACAACTGCAACTCTTTTTGGTTGGTTGGTTGGTTGGTTGATTTTATTTTGATTTGTTTTTATTTTTTCCCCAAAGAC